TAACTTCATCATTCCTTCCACATTTATTTCTTGGCATGCTGGAGTTGGGAAATTATCAGTGGATGCTAACAAGTGCAGGAAAATTTAAAGACAAATAGGATGTTTACATAATTGTGAAGCGTCTCCTCACAAATTTTTTACTATTTGCAAAGAGAAAAATAGTAACTACAGTGGAGAAGCCTGGCAAACACCACCTCAATCAAATGATCAAGATTTAGAAGAATATTATATACATTACAGATAAGTATATTCGTGCTTGTGGAGAGAGTGAGAAAAGCAAAATAAAAATGGAATTAAAGGTTGAAAGACCTGACATAGCAATTTTTAAATCATCGTCTGACTATCATATGTGTAAGTCTTTTGGGAGTCCATGCTATATAAATAGCTTTTTTTTCTTATTGTTATTCCCTAAACCATACAGTGTGAAAACTGCATAGCATTTACATTGTATTAGATCTTATAAGTAATCTAGAGACAATTTAAAGTATACAGAAGAATGTGAATAGATTATATGCAAATACTACACCATTTTTAGATCAAGGACTTGAGCATTCGCAGGTTTTGGTATCCTCGGGGGCCCTGTAACCAATCTCCCTTAGACATTCAGGGATGACTGTACAGTAATATATGTTCACATCCACATTTGCTTTAAAAAATTATGATTCTGATTCAAATTGTGCTATTCTCTTTCTTTCAATATATGACCACTTCCCATTGTTACTATCTTAGATATTTCCAAGAGTCTGTCTACATGTATGAAATGGAAACTTCACAGTAATTATTTATACAGCATGAACTCCCAAAGACTTACACATATCACAATTTTTTCTGAATATTTTCAATCTGCAATTGGTTCAATCCACAGATGTAGAACCCAAAGACATGGAGGGCCAATTGTGTATATCTTTTTTCTGGTTTGCAAAACTGTTCTTTTATGAATACAGGGAGAAATATGAACATGAGAGAATCTGATAGAATTTTCATACCAAACAAATAAAACCAAAATCAAATACCTCACTCTAGTTCTACTCCAATCCAACATTATGGACCCTCCCAACATTCACTGACAATAGCTTCTGCCTGCTTCCTGCCCGTAGTGTTTTCTTCCTAAGAAGCCATGCAATACAGCATGCTCTGTCCCCATCATCACATTCTCCCAAGTACACAATGTTAAGTAAATGATTCACCCACTAAAAAATTTTGTAGAAAAACAGGCAGAGTATAGACTTTAAAAATTTCAAAATCTTTCATGAGGACCCCCAAACCTGCCCAGATTCTACAAAGATGAACACGAGGTGGGGTGTCCCCTTTCCAAAACCATAGGACCCACTGCGCAGCCCACAGCTTCCCATCTCCCAGCTAGGAGCGTTGGATCCGAAGGCAGCCGTTGGATCCGAAGGCAGCCGAGCACGCAGGAAAGGGTTTTCTCCTTCACCCGCAGTTGTCTTTTTCCTGGCAAACAAGTCAGGTGCCAGAAACTTGACCCAGACTGGCAGGGACAGAGATTAGAGGAAGCAGAAGAGGGAGAGGCACTAATGAAGAAAATAGAAGCAGTAGAAAAAGTGGGAAAGAGTGTCAAAAGGGTCCCGATTTGAAACAATTTCAGAAAAGTTACCTATTTTCAAAACATTTAAAGCCTCTCAAAGTTCAGAAAAGGCATAAGCCTGCCTGGAGGTGTATTGCCTCTGCAGGGTCGGTTCCTCTCAAGTGTAGAAAAACAGAAAAATCTCTCACTGAAGAGCTGCAGAAGTATGCACGCTTGTGTGAGCACCGTTGACTGTTGGGTTTAATTCCTTTGTGCTGAACAGAAACCATTACCACCAGACCCCAGGGATGCCTGGCCAGCGTGCTTCCCAGCACGTATGTCACTGTGTGCTTTCCTGACACTGGTTCTTTCTATTCATCTGTCATACAGTACTCTCCCCTTCACCTGAGCAATGGATGTACCTTCCCCCAGACAGTTGATTAACCCTTATTTTATCTTGCAGCTATCAGGAAAACACAAAGTCATTTGGGGTCATCTCTTCAAGGTTGAGAAGCCTGAGCCACCCACCTGCTCCTGCTTGTCAAAATGAAATCTGCCAAGTGCTGAGTTGCTTGAAAATGTCCCGTTAAGTCATTTAAAGACATAGTTCTTCATATATCTAGCACAGCGTAACCTTAATTTGAGACATATTCCTTGGTGTTTTTCTTTACTAGAAAATAAAATGAGCTCCCATCTAAGAATGTTAGCATCCAGCTTTCTCATTCGTATTTCTCATTTCCTTAACAAATAGAGTACTCTTTCATGCATCCAACTATGTGATCTTGCCCACAGTAAGGGACATTTTAAAGTTAACCGATCACTCACATCTACAGTGCCTTATAACAGGTTTTTAACCTCTTCTTCAACAAGCAACTGGGAATACCAGAATCAGCATTTTAACAGTTTCGGGTCTAGGAACTAGACTGTCAATCTCTGCATCACATCACGGACACTTACATCACATCATGGACGTTTACTCTTCCATTGAGAACTGCTGATTTGCCAGTATATTCCCTGGGTATCTCCACCTCATCTATTTGACTTAAAAATTCACACTCCTGTCTGTCAAATATCTAGGGCATAATATTCTACAACCTAAGCCTTGGATAAATGTCATCGTAAGTTATACTCTTATCATGTTAGGATTGCTAAAATGTTTATGACATTCTTCAAAATGAACTGCAAAGAATCATCTGACGAAATGAGTTTGACGTTATGTATAACATTCTTATTGTGTTTCTGAGAATTGTCCTGCACTTGTTCTGTCTGTTCCATCAGATGAGCTCACTGTGATTAGTTTCTGCAAAGAAAGAAACATTGCTAGTTGCCTCTTGCTATGGCATCTCAGCTTAGTGAAAAGGGACCCAGGCTCCCACTGTGGGGCCACTGGATTCACAGTAGATAAGTGAGTCACAATTTCTCTTGGACTCGTTTTCCTCATGTGGTATTGGGGTGTTCATTATATGATCCTTCAACTCCCTCATAGGTCTAACTCCTATAGCTCTGTGACTATGACTGTGACCCCACGAGGCACTCTAGATAACTCTCAAACCAGCTCAGAAGCTTAGAGACTTTGTAGCTTCCAGAACCCTCTCTTATAGCCTACCTCATGCAAGTTTCCTAACATGCCCATGGGGTAGGCAGCACCTCACCATTTTATTCTCATTTTGCTCATATTGATACTGAGCCCGAGAATGGCTTACCTAAGGTATCACAGCTGATAATCAGAAAGACCTGGACTCCAACCCAATTCTAGAGTTTTAAATGCCCAGTCTTGTGCCCTTTCTACTACACAGTAATGTTTCTCTCATAAAGTTTCAATAAACAATCACTAACAATTGTGTAGGAAATTCTCATTCCCCCTACATGCTGCTATGTAAATTAATCTGGAAGTAGATGTGCACATGTCATGGTTGCAGCATTCTTGTCCTAGGAAAAAGCTATTATTTCCCTTAGGAAATCTGACGCTCAGAACTTCTGTTCATTTATTTAAGACATTTTTGAGGACTATAAACATTGCAATATCCAAGGTTCTGTGATGAGTACTTTGTTGGCTCAAAGATTCTCCCGTCCAAGGGTCACAGTCTTGGTGAACCAACGGGATGCAATTAAATAAGCTATAATAGAAGGTGGAAAGTCTCAGGAAGAGGCAAAATGTCCCCTGGGAACTTTCCTCTGGGAGGATCAGAGAAGGCCTATTAGCTTTCTATGGCTGCCTTAACAAGTTACCACAAACTTGGTGGCATAAAACAACAGGAATTTATTCTCTCACAGTTTTGGAAGCCAAAAGTCCAAAATTAGTGTCAACAGAGCCACACCCCTTCTGAAGGCTCTAGAAGATAACTCTTGCCTGTTCCAGCTACCAGCATTCCTTGGCTTGTGGTAGCATCACTCCAATCTCTGCCTCTGTCTTCACATGGCCATCTTTTTTGCATCTCTGGGTCATCTCCTCTTCTTATAAATATACGAGTTATTGGTCTTTAGGCCCTATTTCCAAATAAGGTCACATTCTAAGGTTCCAGGTCACCATGAATTTGGGAGAGACCTTATGCAACCCACTTCAGAAGGCTTCCCAGAAGAGATGTCATTTGAACAGAGCCATGAAAACCAACTGATTCTTACAGCAGCAGTGGAGAGGAAAACCATCCTAAGAGGAAAACCACTCCTGAGGACTCAGGAGAAAGATATGGAAGTGGGCACATCCTGGGCATATAGAAAGAGACAAGCAACTTGTGGAAGCATAAGAAAAGAAAATGCAAAGAGGATGCATTCATCTGCTTGGGCACCCATAATGAAATACCACAGGCTAGGTGGCTTAAAATGCAGACAGCTATTTTCTCACAGTTCTGAAGCCTGGAGTCCAAGATCAAAGTGGCATTAGGGTTGGTTTCTGGTGAGGCCTCTCTTGCTAACTTACAGACAATGCCTTTTCTCTGTATCTTCATGTAGCCTCATCGCTGTTTATGCAGAGAGAAAGAGAGTGAGTTCTAGTACCTCTTCTTCTTATAAGGACACCAGTTGTTATGGTTAGGCTGTGTCCCCACTCAAATCTCATCTTGTATCGCAACTCCCACAATTTCCACATGTCGTGGGATGGGCCTGTTGGGGAGTAGTTGAATCATGGGGGTGGGCCTTTCCTATGCTGTTCTTGTGATAGTGAATAAGTCCTGTGAGATCTGATGGTTTTATAAAGAGGAGTTTCCCTGCACAAGTTCTGTTATTCTCCCTTCTCTGCCACCATGTAAGATGTGCTGTTTGCCTTCTGCCATGATTGTGAGGCCTCCCCACTCACATGAAACTGTGAGTCCATTTTCTTTTTCTATAAACAGTCGGGTATGTCTTTATCAGCAGCATGAAAACAGACTAATACACCAGTCCTATCAGATTGGGGCCCCACTCTCATGACCTCGTTTCACCTTAATTCCCTTCTTAAAGGCTCTACCTCCAAATATCATATCAATTTAAGAATGACAACTTTCATAAATTTAGAAAGAAGAGCTTTATTTCTCATGAAGAGTTTCAGCCTGCAGGGTGGCCATTCCCAGAGGCTGGGAAGTGTAGCCTCTGGTCAGAAGCCAAAAACAGATACTTCAAGAGAGGGGGAAAAGGGAACAGAAACATATGGTAAGTTGGGTGGTTAAGTGTACATATTCAACAGATTATAGGAGGAGTCATTAATATTTACAAAAGGAAAAACATGCACATGTACAGTTGAGCGTCGTGCCTCTTCATGGGTCCTGTGTACAAAAAATGGCAGTGTTAGCATAATCCCAGGGTGGAGTTTCAGGCCCTCTGGCATCAAAAGATGAAGCAGATGACATGAAAACCTTCACTGCACATTCTCTGTGATTGGCCAGAACAACTCCATGGTCAATTGTCTCTCATCAGGAAGAAATGCTGGTCTGTTGTTGCACCAAAACTGCAAAAGGGAGGGGCAGCATCAGATGGTTGGTTGATATCAGCAGCAGAGTCTTTTGAGAGGGCTGGTTTCTGTTCCGCCTGTAGGGAAGAAGGCCTAATGACTGTTAGTGAGGGAGCAGGTATAATAAGGTGTGTCCAACCTCTCATACCATCATGGCTGAGAACCGTTTTCAAGGTTATTCTGGGGTTGCTATGGCCAAGAGAAGGTCTGTTCACTCAGTTGAGGGGCTTAGAATTTTACTTTTATTTCCCAGTAGTTATATCAGGAGGTAGGGCTTCAACACGTAAATCTGTGGAAAGAACACAGACAAAATTCAGTCCATAAAAGATTATTTAAAGCCAAATAAAAACAGGTGAAGAATACCAACCAGGCCAAGGAATTGGACCTGTATTCCTCCAATCACAGAAAGATGTTGAAAATCCTGATCGAAGTAATAAAAATGTTCTCAAGAGAGGCATCCTCTTTTTCATTTTCCTGTTCTATAAAGTAAGGACTATTTTCTAGGAGCCCTTTCAGACTGTTAGCATGTGATTGCTGGCTACATTTTAGAAAATTAATCTCTAAGAATTGCTAACTCTGTCTGAATCATGGGCTATGAAGCAATTATGTCACCAAAAGTTAGATAATTTGTAAGGGTCATTTTTTTTATTCTAAAATGGCTAATGATTAATAGACCAGTTGCTGTCAAGAGCAACAGAATCCTGCAAGTTCTTAGTATCATCAAATAAATACTAATACAGAATAAGATGGTCTGAGTGTGGTGGCTCACACCTGTAATCCCAGCACTTTGGGAGGCTAAGGTGGGTGGATCACTTGAGGTCAGGAGTTCGAGATCAGCCTGGCCAACATGGCAGTCTCGATTAAAAATACAAAATACTAGCCGGGCGTGATGGTGGGTTCTTGTAATCCAAATTTCTTAGGAGGCTGAGGCATGAGAATCACTTGAGCCCTATAGGCGGAGGTTGCAGTGAGCCAAGATCACGCCAGTGTACCCCAGCTTGGGTGACAGAGTAAGACTCTGTCTCAAAAAAGAATATAAAAAGACATAATAAGATGAACCGGTGAGATTTTTTTAATTTGGACAATTCTGACATGATTAGCTTGCACCATAAGGGACATTTGTAAATATTTTTCCAAGGCCTTACTTTTATACAGTTTTCAAAAGAAATCTTGGGTCTTCTTTAACTCCCTGCTCAGTAAAATGTGAATTGAAAGGCAGTATTGAATACCAAAGGGCCAGAGCTGGAAGGATACTTCTGAAATTACTCATTTCCAACTCTCACATCACAGACGGGTAAGCTGAAGACCAGAGGTACACAGTGATTGCCCTGAGACAGCACCCCAGCTATTTATTGGAAAAGCTTGCCTGACGCAAACAAGAAATAAGCCTTATTTCAAGATTTTCAACATCTTTCTATGACCAGTTATGACTGGTGAAAAACCAGAACTGCTCTAAAATTTAACCAACATTATGTAGTACTTGCTATGTTCCAGGCACTGCTTAAGTCAGTTTCTCTCCTGGCCATAGAAAGTACCTAGGGATATTGTCAAAAGGCAGCTTCTGATTCAGCAGGGCTGGGGCCAGGTCTGAGAGTCTGCATTTCTATTATAACAAGCCCCTAAGTATTGCTGATGATCCTTGTCTGAAGACAACACTTTGAGTAACAGAGGTCCAAGTACTTTATTTATTTATCTATTTACTTACTTATTTATTTATTTATTTATTTATTTATTTATTTATTTATTTGAGACAGAGTCTTGCTCTGTGGCCCAGGCTGGAGTGCAGTGGCATGATCTCAGCTCACTGCAACCTCCGCCTGCCAGGTTCAAGTGATTCTCCTGCCTCCGCCTACTGAGTAGCTGGGACTACAGGCACACATCACCACGCCCAGCTAATTTTTGCATTTTTTAATACAGACGGAGTTTCATCATGTTGGCCAGGCTGGTAACTCCTGACCTCAAGTGACCCACCCACCTTGACCTCCCAAAGTTCTGGGATTACAGGCATGAGCCAACATGCCCAGCCCCAAGAACTACATAAATATCAACTCTTCTGTTCTCCAAAATAACCCTGCTACTGTTACCGATACAGGTACTGTTGCTATTCCAATTTTACAGAGAAGGAAAGTGAGTTGTCTAAGGGCACACAGGTGGAAAGGGCCAGAGTCAGGATTTGTACCCAGACAGCCTAACTGTAACCTGTGCTCTTAACTACATTACCCTCAGATTCTCGAAAGCAATCCATGATCATCTGCATGCATCCACATATCTGCTTTCAAGGCTGGGGCACTAACACTCTATTTTAAGTATGCTGTCATTAAAATAATCACCATGAAAATTATTTTTAAAACTAATCATGATATAATGTTAAGCAAAAATATCAGAATACAAAATACATCAGACAAGGCCAGGCTCCTTGACCACCCACCTCCGTTACTCAAGTAGGAACCACCCAAGTCATCCCTGCAACAGCAGGAAAGGTCTTCTCTCTTTTTCTCTCTCCCAGAAACTACCCCCGGGAAACTTCATTCTTGCTCCTGCTCCCCAACAAACACTTCAGGAAGTGAGGTCTCCCCCGATCAAAGACGTGAGAGAAAAGTAGTCACGGCACCCTGGGAGCAAGCCAGCCACCCTAGCATCTATAGCTTTCTTTCATTCATTCAATAAACATCCACCGAGGACCTACTATGTGCCATACACCATCATAGGTGCTGGGATACAAAACAGACAGAGTCCCTGCCCCCATGAAGATTACATTCTAGTGGGGAGTGGCTGACAATTTTTAAAAGCATAAAAATAAGCATATTATATAGTATTTTACTAGGTGATAATTGTTATAGAAAAATAATAGAGCAGGGGAGTCAGCAAGGCTGGGGGGAGGGGGTTGCAATGGTACTTAGGGTTGTCAAGGTGACCTCAGCATGAAAATGACATCAGAGAGAGGATTTGAAGTGAGGGAGTTCATGAGGCACGTGTCTGGGAGAGAACATTCCAGGCAGACAGAACCACAGGTGCAAAGGCCCTAAAATAGAAACACATCTAGAAAGTTAAAGGTGCAGCAAAGAGGCCATGGTGTCTGAAATGGATGAGTGACAGGAAGAGGAGTCAGAGAGAGAATGGTTAGGGGAAGGGACAGATCATGCAGAGCTTCATTGGCCTTAATGAGGGCCTTGGCCTTTACTTTGAGAGTAATGGGGAGAATCAACCTCGGAGGACAAGGAAAGAAGCTTGAAGACCAGCTAAAAGGCAACTGCAAGAATCCACGCAAGGGATGTTTGTGGATCAGACCAAAGTGGTTGCAGTGGAGATAGTGAGAAATGGTAATGAGATTCCAGATATTGGGGTTTTTTGAAAGGTTAGATGTGAAATGTGAGCAAAAGAGAGGAGTCAGGGATGCTTCCAAGGCAATTAACTCGGGCACTTAAACACATGAAGCTGTCCTTAACTGAGATGTGAAAGAAGGTAAGGAAAGCCAACTTGGAAGAAAGATCTAGAGTTCAGTTTCAGACACGTGAAGGTGGAAATGCAGAGACATGGAATAGATGGTTGTCTCTGTGAGTCTGGAATTCAGGGATAGGTGTGGGCTGGAGGTGCTCGTGTGGGAGTTTGCAGCACAGACAGCCATGAGACCAAATGAGATTTCCAAGAGCGTGTGGAAGGCAAGAAAAAGGAGCGATCTAAGATCTGAGCCCTGGATGTGTCAATGAAAAGAGAAGGAAGCAACAAACATCTGGGGAGATGTATCCAGCAGCAGAAGAGGTAGGAAGGAAAGTGCAGAGTCTTGGAAGTCAAGAGAAGAAAATGTTTGCTGGAGGAGAGAGTGAGCAGCTGTGTCAGCTGCTGCTACAAGGTGAGGTGGGATGAAGACTGAGAACCAAGCTTTGGATGCAGCAAGGCGGAGGCCATGGTGACCTTCATGAGCAGTTTCATGGAAGTAAGAAGAGGAATATTTTTCCCCACAGGAAGGATAGAAAACTTCAATGATAAAAATGGGAAAGGGGCACCATGGCTGGCATTAAACCACTAGGGAGGGATGGAGGAAGAAGCAACAATGCCTATGGCCCTTAAAGGACAGATCTGTGTCATCCAAGCTGAAATGCTTCTGTGAGTGTAGGAAAAGGCTTTATGTTCTCATGACTCAACAGATTATGCTGCTAATTTACTGACTCTTTGTTCTCTCTTCAGCTGTGCCCTGAATAAATCTTAATCTCTTAAGCAGAAGAAAAAAAAGAAAGGTCATTGACCAGCAATTAAGCTGTCACTCAGATGAAACCTGGATCCAGTTCATTACATGAAAGGGATACTTGCAACATTCTTCCTCAATTTGAGATTCGTGGCTCCAACAATGGATTTTTGGCTTTGATATTGCTGCCACACCTTTGGAACAACAATATTGGGACATTCACACTGTCCTTTCTCTGTATTCGGCCCACAGAGGCCAGATTTCTGCATTCAAGGCCAAACCTGCTCTTTCTATCAACTCTGTAAAATCATCTCCTATCACCAACATTCCTGCCAAGTTACCCATTTAGAACTGTCTCTTTCTTTTTCACACAAAGCCATATGTGAATGCAGAAGAGATGATATACTTAAACCCATCAGAATCATTCCTTTTTTATCCCAAAAATGGAAGATCTGCCTTAAAATTCCTGAACAGTACCTTCTAACTCATTAGCAATTACCAATTGCTTGTTTCCCTAGTTAAACCAGACTATAAAATATATTTCTAGGAAAGCACCTAAGACATTATACTCACACAGATGATCATCTGCTTTGTTTCAACCTGACGGGAAGAACTATCATTATTACTCCTATGGCTAGGAAATAAGACAATTGCAATCAAACCTCATCATTTCAGATCCTGCTACTCTGACAATAACAGCAATTCGACCTTGATTGAAGATTACCTTTGTAGCACATTTGAAAAGAAGGCATTGCAAAGAAAATTAATAACACGAATAATGTCCAGGGAAGATATTTAAGCTACTTAGAACATAAAGAGTTTCAAATATCATCAATTTGTTAAAGGAGAGCTATCTTCAACAATACTAGCACAGAAAGACAGGATGCATGTGTAATTATGATAGATATCTACTCATGGGTTAATTATGTCCCACCTTTTCCCAAAACTTATGAGGTTTTGTTGTAATTGCTGAGCTACACACACGCGCACATACACACACCCACTACCTCACCCACAGTCATGCAAGTATATTCAAACAACTTGCCAACCCACACATTTTATTTGCCAACACCCACACCCCACCCACAATTAGGTTTCCCAGATTC